ATGACCCGTACTCGCGGGTCGGCGTGCTCGAACTGCTGCATGTGGCTCGAACACAACCAACTAGACAAGTCAGAACTAACGCCACAAACAGAGGCCGTTTGAGGGCAACTCCGAGTCCTCTTTGAGCAGTGTCATTCAAGCCGCTAATCCCAAATACCCAATTACATCCCCGCCCGTATCGCTATCATGTCTATATGCCATCAAGGACGCTTTGGAACTCAACCCGGATAAGCGGATGGGCGCGACGTGGGATAGCTTCATTTACCACGAATTTTTCCAATGCATCGACTTCGAAGCGCTCGAGAGGAAGGAGATAGACCCAGTCTTCATACCGTCGTCCGAGAAGACTAATTTCGATGCCACCTACGACTTGGAGGAGCTTTTACTTGAGGAAGCCCCGCTCGAAGCTCGTGCTCGCAGACAGAAGCCGCGCGAGCGGTTAAAGGATGATGCTACCGACAAGGAAATTAGGGAGGACGAACTATACCGTATGATTGAGACAGATTTCCGTCCATTTGACTACACAGTCGCCGCATATAAGAAGTATGACACCAAATCTGCACATTCTATGTCACCACCAATGCTAACTTGAGATCAGGATCACTGGGCAGGTAGTTCCGCAGGCCAATGGACGAACGAATACCCTAAAGGGCGCATGTCCGCCTGATGAGAATGCTCGACCACAAGCTTTAACGACGGACGAAGCGGCATCGATTAAGTCGAGGGCGAGTACGAATGGGGGCTCACAATCACAGGGACAGTCTGCGCCGGGACCTGAAGCGACCCAAGGACAACAAGAGACTGGCGGATCTCATAGAGCCCAACGGCCGCCAAGCAGTCATCAACGGCGCGGCGCTGCTCCAGGACGACCGCCTCCACTCCCACCATATCCGCAGACATACACGAACAGTTCCAGCGGCGCCCGGACAGGTCGAACAGGCGGTCCTGCTATGATTGTCGGGAGTCCCACAGGCGGTATACAGGTGACGCTGGATGGCGCTGGCAACTGGAGCGATTTGGCCAGACAAGATGCGACACTGCCCGCAGACGCGAGCGGAGCAAATAACGATCTCGCCGGAAAACCCGAGGGTTCCGGTGGAGTGTTTGGTTTCCTGAGCAGGAAGAAGGGACGGGGACATAGTCCAAAGCCTAAAGAGAGAGGTGTTCTTGGGAAGGAAGGTGCACGACAAATAATTGGTTGAGTGGTTTTTCTTGTGTTCTAATTTTTTGAATTCTTTTTGGAAACGGAGCACACACTTTGCATCTTGCTGGGGGTGGGAGGAATACTGACATGTGCTGGGTTAACAACCTGGAGCAACAGTTGGCGAGATGGAGTTTGACAACCTGCTGCTTATTCTCGGCCTGGCCATATCTGGTTTTGTAATGCTTGCCCGACTGTGTCTGTGCCTCTAACAAAGATCGCGTTTTCTTTTCTGTCGTATTTACTGGCTGCTATCTACTCTCCGAACTACTTCGATACCCCGAGGATAAATCGATCATCTCCATATAACAAACACTCCTCTTATCTACTTTGTCTTTCCTCGAGTACAGATAAAGCCACATCTACATACTCGTCAAGTCATAAATGTACAAGGCCCGTGACTAAAAGTACAGCCAGATAGGTCAAGTCAACCATGTACACACAATACGATAAGCTTTCATGCCAACGCGATTATCCCTTCCAAGTACATAGTTTTACAATTGTAAAATTACAAGGCCAGCCAAGGACCTCTACCTCCCTACCCATTCCAACCTCAACTCAAAGCTTCTTTTGAATCCCGAAAAAGTAATTACCAATCTTCTCGCTGCCCGTAACCTCTTTCCACCCCAGACCAGGTACATACACGACGCCCATGACCTTCAGGGAGTCAATATCCCACCCACCAGTTTTCTGACTCTTGAAGAAATGATTCCTCAACTCGTCCTCGTTGATGTACTTGTTCCAGTCATGCGTGCCCTTGGGCACGATTCCCAGGATGTCCTCGGCCACGAGGTTGGTCGTGAACCAGCTCGTCCAGGTGCGGGCGATGGTGCTCAACACGAGCCAGCCGCCCGGCTTGACGAGGCTGCCGCAGGTGTCCAGGAAGGCGGCCGGGTTGTCGACGTGTTCGATCACCTCGAAGAGCGAGATCACGTCGAATTTCTCTGGGGTAGAGGAAAAGGTTTCGATGTTGGCGTTGATGTATTGGAGTTTGTCAGAGGAAAGGGCGGGGTCTTTGGCTGCGTGGGCACGGGCGACGCTAATGATGACTGGCGCGGCGTCGATGGCGGTTACTGACTGTGTGGAGGGAAGTCGGGCGGCGCTTTCGGCAAAGATGCCGCCTCCGCAGCCTACATCGAGGTAACTCAGCTTTTCTGGGGACTGTGGTTGCTGTTGTTGGTTTGTGGTCGTCGTCGTGTCTTCTGGTGATAGAGTGGAGGAGGAGGATAACTGAGACGAGGATCGGCAGGCGTTGATAAAGTCATGTCGGAGAGGGTTCATGAGGTGGAGGGCCCGTGAGGAGCCGTGAGGATCCCACCATGTCGCTGCGAGGGCGTTGAAGTGGGAGATTTCGTCCGCGTTGACGGACGAGGAGGAGTGCTGCCATCGTCGTGGTGGCTGCTGTGATGCGGTGGCTGCCGCCGGTATTTCCGCCGCCGACCATAGGGCAGATGCGCCTGCAGCAGCCGCTGTTACATGGCGGCTTGTTTGGGAGCCATGGCGGAGGAGTGTCGGTGTGTGCCGTCTCAGCGACGACAGCATTTTTGTGTGGGGTCTGTCCTCCGCGTCGCGTGTTCCGAATCGGCCTCCGGGGCAGGCGGGCTAGTTGTTTGCGCGACGGGGAGCTGTCTTGTTTTTTGGGAGCTGGTTTGGTAATCCGCGCTGTTTGTCCGAGCTTGGTGATCCCGGTGGTGGTCCCGTCTACCGCGTTCCGTCCGTTGTACTGTCCCACTGCAGTGGGCTTCTGGGAGGCTTCTAGCGGCTCCCACAGGCCGGTCCAGCCGATCCGCAACGGCTGTTGTGCACGGCCTGCAACTGCTGCTGCAGGGACCCTCAACAGCTGAGATGCACGTTTGTCAGCGTCTGTCATCCGTTGACTGAGACTCGATGAAAGGTGCCATGAGAGATTTCGAGTATAGAATCGGGCTCTCTCCGATTGATATTCGCCTGATATAACACCTAAACACTTTTTCATGAGTTTACGTTCGTTGTGCGATTATTCAGTTTCTAGTACCGGTACCTATATGCTACCCCTCGCCTCGGCATAGAGCCCGCTAATACCGGGGATTTGCCCCTCCTCCACAGCCGAGACCGCATCGCACCCCCGGATTTCATTTTCAAGCTCACTTCAGACGGAAAGCAAACCAAGCCCGAAACATCTTCATTATATTTCTGTCGCAAATATGTCTCCTTCAAGAATTGATTCGTCACAATTTGACAGTATTCCGGATACCGTCCAGGCATTCCGTACGTCTTTGTCTCTTATCCCCGGCCATGCCACGCCACCACCACCGCCTCCTTCGCAGGAAAGCCAAGCTAACCCATTTCTTCACCGGTTACAGGAGAAGGCCAATTCGTCGTCGTCCTCGACGACCCGGGCCGCGAGAACGAAGCGGACCTCATCATCGCCGCCCAGGACGTCACCACACAGCAGATGGCCTTCATGGTTCGCCACAGCTCCGGCCTGATCTGCGCGCCCATCCTGCCGGATCGCACGCTCGCACTCGAGCTGCCGCAGATGGTCGAGCACAATGAGGACCCGCGCACGACCGCCTATACCCTGTCTGTCGACGCCGCCGACCCGTCCATCACGACGGGCATCAGCGCCCATGACCGCGCGCTCGCCTGTCGTGTCCTCGCCGATGAAGCGTCAACCGCTGCCAGCCTGCGTCGCCCGGGGCACGTCTTTCCCTTGCGCGCCAAGCCCGGCGGCGTAAGGCAGCGCCGCGGCCATACGGAAGCCGCCATCGACCTCTGCCGGATGGCGGGCAAGCGGCCCGCCGCGGCGATCTGCGAGCTCGTCGAGGACGGCCTTGAAGTACCTGGTCAGGCGCTCAGGGAGGAGCCGGGCATGATGAGGGGCGAGGCATGTATAGCGTTTGCGCGAAGGTGGGGGCTCAAGGTGTGCACCATTGAGGATATGGTGCAGTACTTGGAGAAGACGGAGGGGAAGCTGGCGGTTAATGGGTCTTGAATATGAGAATGGATGAGCATTTTAAGAAAAAGTAAAAGGGAACCTGGTGACTTATATACTCTTCTTATGGGCGAGAAGGTGGTTTATATTTTGCATTGCTTTCCTTATTTTGGTTTACATGTTTCGCGGATATAACTGACTTGATTCCGGAGGTGTCAGTCCGTGGACTGATGAGTCCCTCGTCGACAAGACCGGGCAGAATTAAGGAAGAGAATGTGGAAAGAGGCTCAAAAGGAAATGGGCGCTGCTCTTATAGAAAGAAATGACCTCGTGGTTCTTCATTGCTTATTTGCTTTACCATTATTGGGGAAAATAAATTTGTGGCTTTCATCTTGCCGGCGGCGGCTGTAATGCTGTAGATACTACTCAAGTAGGAGGAAAAGACGCAAATCTATTTGCAGATATCTTTAACGTTCTTGTTCCTACCATAGTCATCACTATAGATCATACAGGTATACGTACACTTGTAGATACGATGATCGCATCAATCTCGTTTATTCCGCGGACCATAGGCGGTTCACGTTCACATATCATATGTATACATCGTGAACACACCTAGGTACAGTCTCTTACACACATATATCCAACCATAACCGTTTTCGGTATTCACTTCCAAAGTTAACATCGGGCATATTGATTACTCCCTCGGTAAACTGAGAGTGGGAACACCGAAACATTGCCATACACAAAAGTAAGGAGGGCACGAGTCAGTCAGTCCCACCACCGCACCACACCTTCCCTACATATAGCTATCTATCCGAGGGTCTGTCAACAACAAGCCAAGCGAAACACACTACGGCAGGTGTCCACACCTGTTGCAGAAAATCTTCCGTAGTATAGTGGTCAGTATATGAGCTTGTCATCCGCCCCCTAAGGTTCGACATCCGCTCGGGACCCGGGTTCAATTCCCGGCGGGAGAGATCTATGCACCAAAGAGGTTGTTGCTCTTGGCCATTTCCCTTTTTGTTCTTCCAATTCTTATTTCTGATTTTCGTTCGCACTCACTAGTTTGCTGTTGTTCAGTATATGTGTATGTCTGTCTGCCTGGTGTGAAAATATCATCAGAGCCTCTAAAAAGGCAATTGATGTAGGAAATAAAAGGGGTCCGCTAGTAATGTAGCTTTTTGGGGCTTGTACCCAACCCTCCTCCCCACACCCTCGCGACATTTATGAAGCCTTCCGGTAATTATGGTATTTCAGTCTGAAATCACGGCTTATTACGTCGTTCCTAGACAAGGAAACAGATCTGATACAGATGATGGGACTAGGTACAGAGAGAGGGAGGTTTGTTTGTTTATATATTTTATCCTACTATAAACCAAGGAAAAAGAAGTAAACCATTTCCAAACAAAACCCAAACTCCGATCCAGCCAGTTGCCCACTCAGTTTGGAGTTCACGTTCCTCTCAATTCAGTCCTGTTGATAACCCATCACACACCAGCTGAGCATCCATCCACACCAAGATATATCGATAATTACAAAACTCCAACTAACCCCAAGTCGCCACCACTAATAGCAGAAAATAATTTCCTAGGTATCTTTAATCGACACGCATGACCCACGCCTGGACGTATTTTCCCAGCATAATGTAAACATGGTCGGCAGCTTGCCTACCTGCCCCTGTTCCCTGCTTGTTGCGTCTGAACCCCAAATACCGAGACACCTCAAATGTAAACCCAGCATACACCTTCCAAAAAAGTACACTATAATACGATCATCCAGATCATCCATGCACCTGAAAATGAGAATCTGTGCTGTGAGAGGCGTGAAAGGAGACAACTAGGTGGCCTTAGCGTTGTCCACCAGCTGGCACTCATCTTTCCCACCCAGATACTTCTTCATCACCTTCTTGAAGTCGCTCTCGTCCACGACCGCACCGGTGCCAGAGCACTTGGCCTTCTTCTGCAAATCGGAGCAAAGTCCGTCCAAATCGAAATCGCCGCTCTGAACCTTGGGACAATTTTGCAAGCGCTCCCTATCATGCTGTCAGCTAACCATTCACTCACGTTAGGCAGTAAAGAGTTTCCATACCATATCTTGTTGCAGGTCAATAGACTTTGACCACGAACGATCTCACCATCACCCGGCGTGTCGTCCGAGTCCTTAGCGGCATCAATCTGGGAAATGAGATCCGTTCCTTTCTTAGTCGCCGCCGGGCTCGTGACAGGTAGGTTATATGGCGTGGTAAAGTCCATGTCAAAGGCATCGTTGAAAAAGGTATCATCAAGCCCGTTGGTCAAGACGTTCTCCTGAGGCTCCCGATAGTCACCAAACAGATGCGGATCAAACTGGAAGTCGTTCTGTGGCAGCCAGTTGAAATTCATGTCGACATTGTCAAAGGTGCCAAATTCTGGAAAGGACAATCTTAGCGATCATTCTCGTCATTATGCAGACAATTGCACAGGTCATGCTAGGGGTAAAAGGAAGAACCGACTGCCGCTAGGCTCGTCGGTCACGGGTGGTGTATCGCTGAAATCCTACCTTGGGTCGAGTTGTTGGCGGTTGGCTGCTCCTCTCCAATCGTGGTCAGAGTATCAATGGGTTTGAAGCCCATAGGTGATTGAGTGAACGGCTCCGGAGAAGTCCCACAAGACGAGGTTGCGCCCATATTGGAATTAGAGGAAGCCGATGGGGAACTGGTTGAGGTCGCAGCACCCGTACTGAAATGTGAATCCAAGCTCATATTTGAACCGCTGCCAACATCGCCGCTGTTGCGGGGTGAGTTGAAGAGAGCTGAAGACATTTGTGCCAAATCTTCCTTGGCCTGCGAATCGAGGCCTACTTGGCTGTAGCTGCTGGAATTGCTCGGGCTGACACCGTCTTTCGGTTTCTCCAATGGGCTCACTTGGTCACTGTTGTTACGCCGTAAGTGCGAAGATCCAACAGAGGAAGTAGATGGTTTCTTGGTAGTGGCGTTGTCGGTGATGCTGGTGGTTGGTTGAACAGGGCGAGCGCCGAACTTTGGGAACTCAAACTGAAAGCTAACGTCGTTCATGCTATTGACCATCGTCGAACCCCATGCCGTGACCGGGACTCGGGCAGTTGGCCGAGCACTTGATGCTATTATTGAAATCCGCTTCTTGTATTCGTTCAACTCGACCGTCATTTTCTCGACCTTGGCACGAAGAATTTCATTCTCGTGGTTAGTTGACTCGGATGCCTTCTGCAGTTCTTCCACTTTCGTCTCAAGATCCTTAAGGTGCTTTTCCTTGCGCTCTCGGAACGCTCGCTGGGCAGCCCGATTCTGAGCTTTACGCTTCTATTTTCAACCATGTCAGCGGCTATTGCACGAAGAACTACAATGGGGCTTTGCATTTCACACTTACGGAACTTGGTTCGGTAGTAAGTGGCTTCCGCCCTGGCTTTTTGGCGATCTTATCTCCACCCTCACGCCTCTTCGCATCACCATTCTCGTCTTCATCGTCGTCCGGATGACTGCGTTTATCCGGCGAGTCGCCTTCGGGAGAGCCGGAACTGGTGGTGCTGGGGGCTGTGGGTAGGTCGCCAATCATTTTGGGTTGATCCGTATCGTTGAAGGAGAAATCAAAGCTGGAATCTGGTGCGCCGAAATCATACTCGTAGTCCAAGTCCGGGCTGTTCTGGAAGCTGTCGATGGCGTCTAACCCCTGGGTAGGGGAACCATCAAACGCCAAGGGCGACAGGTTCATAGCGCTGTTTGACGTGGCGACGGTAGAAGGAGCACCGGGCTTATTGGAATTGAGGGCGGCGAACAGGAGGTTCTGCTGCTGGGGGGTGAGGACGAAGTCCTGGAGAGGGTTCCGGGTCGACGTCATCTCGGCTGACTCAAGTGTAATCGCGACGGATGAGTGCGGTGAGGAATAGAGTTCAGGGGTTTATCCACTTGACAGGCTTTCAACGGCCTCGAAATAAAAGAATAGACTGCGCAGACGTCACGCGTAGATGAGATGGTCTGTGAATCCTGGAATCCGATCTGGAGGAGTGGATTGCTCTCCAACTTCCAAGCCCAGAACACGCCACGGCGGGGTATCGTGGATTTGGGGAACAAAGACAATGGCAATCAATTCAGGGTAGAAGCTGTCGACGACGCTCTGAGCAGTCGACTAGGAAGATGTCTAGAGAGTAGAAAAGGTGACGCACAAGAAGACGTCGATGGACGGGCCAAGTACGAATCCGGACACGCAATCCAAAAAAAATCGCCTTCCCAGGAGTGGGCAAGGTTCAACAAGGTGAGATGTGTGTTGCGGATAAGAGCAGGTTGAGGTCCAAGGTCGGCGATGGTGCAAGCGACAAGTGTCGAGAGAAAGAAAGTTGCGGCCTTCTCGCCTGAATTGTTGCCTGACTCACCTGACACCAGCTCTTGACCAGCCTTTGCCTTTTCGAGCAAGCTGTGAAAGATCGGAGACTGAGACTGCAGATGACGGGGCGACGCTGGAATCACGGTGTTGGTGAGATGAGGTTGGTGGCCGGTGTGAGAGTCGGAGGGAATCACCCAGAACCAAACTGTGAGGAGGGGTTGAGCAAAAGGCAATTTGTCAGCGGCTCTGCGCTCGGAGGAACAGCGGAGGGCCCGCCGACCGATCCGACCAACCAACGGTTAAGCCATCTACATTCTCCGCCCAGCGAGCTGCTCGACATAAGAACCTACGTGAGAGCCGCTTCAGGATGGCATCGTCCCCTCCTTCAAAGGCCCGTTCTTTTTAGCACAATCACGCCGGCTTTGTTCTACCCTCAGCCTGCTCTCTCAAAATCGACGCTTCAACCCCAATTTTCAGCATGAAACCTGCCCGAGCGGGGGACGAGGCAGAGCCTTAGTAAGGCCCAGCCGATCAAGGCCTGCTTCCGTATTGGCTTCTGCCTGTAGTATCACCTTCGGAAACATATAACTACCCGGTAGTTGTATTCAGTTCGCTTGGACCTATTTGGTAGGCAGACAGAACCATTTCTAAGTGAGACGGGAAGTAACTCCATGGCATACGTGGGAGATCTAGACCTGCCTCCTCGCTTCATCTTTGGGCAGGCAAATGACCCAAACCATTAACAGGTAAAGCGGGGGTTGGGGGTCAGGGGACGTTTCTTTTTAAATTTTTTTTTTAATAAAAGCGAACGAAACAGGATCCTAGTCGGATCGAGACGGCTTAATTGGCGATGCCATTCGGAGGATTTGCATTCGCCACTCATCGTCGAAGGGCGCGTGCTACATCGTGAAGAGTGGGGGTCGGGCGTGGATCCTGATATACCCGTTATCTCCGTTTACCTCCAACGGCGCGAGTATTGAATATCATCCTGCTATCTCATCGTCGGCCAATTCTGGCCACGTGTTGGTCTGCTACACAATCTCATTGTGTCAGGTACTGGCAATTGCAGTTATAGTCCACGCTGCGTTTGCCGTAGAGTGCGTGGGAAGGATTGGTCTTGTGCAGTAGGTACCTAGGCATGCATTCATAACTCCTGATATTCCTGAGCTGACGGCATGGCCTATGTAGGCTTTATGATATCTGCCTACAGTAGGTATGCTTATATAGACGGAAATATTCAAGCTTCAGTACACAAGCATCGAAAGCTGTACATTTACTTTGTCTTGATCGCGCTATAACGAACGTGATCAGTGAACAAGCATGTAGGTATACACGATAACCTCATTGTGGACTGCGGTCCGGTAAGGTTATAATCTGAAGAGCAGTGCTGATAACCCTCTTCAGTCGTGGAATTTATACGTTGAATACCTAAGTGCCTGTGCAAGGGACAATCTATAGTGTCCATCCGCCCTGTCATCTGAGGTCTCACGGGGCAATAATGCAGTGCTGGTAAGGACTCCGAGTCTACCCAAGACCCAATTGGTTTGTTCAGACTGTGCCTTGCCCTTCGAGTCTGGCATACCTGGCTAACAAGAAAGACCCAGACTAGCCTAGACGGTCAACGGTTGTGTCAAGTAAGCCAT